CAACAACAACAACAACAACAACAACAACAATAATAATAATAATAATAATAATAATAATATAAAAACTTTGAAATCCATCTCCTCTTTAGGCTCAGCTTGAGAGTTATTATTTGACCCTACTGGAATCATGGCAGGAACTGGGATTCCAGTTTATATATCTACATGTAATAAATAAAGGGATCACTTTATATATCTACATGTAATATTGCAAAATATGCATAGACAATATTGAGTTGTACATTTTTACCTATTTCAGTCCAATTATAGGATAATCACATTTTAAAATGAATTCAATCTTATCTGTTAAACTGGACCTCTCGTAACATCATCACTTTGGATCAATTCAATTCTAAGTGGCTGTTTCTAAACTTCTGCAGAATTTAAGAAACATTTATTTACTTCTTGGCACTTTATTCAAGCATTTTTAATTCTGTCTATTCTTGTTCTTAATGTTACTACAATATTATAGTGATTCCAGTTTTTGGCAGCATTAACTATGGCTCCTACCTAACAATATTTTTACAGGAAGTTAATAGAAATAGATGAAATTGATATTAGTTATTAATGCAACCTCTGGAATAATTAACTTAAATTAACTTAATTTTTAACTTAATAATTAACTTAAATTTGGTTAACCAGTAGAAATAAAATTTACTTCCTGTGAACTAAAAAATGAGATTAGTGCAACAAAAAGTGCTTGGTTTCCTTCAGGATTGTGTTTGCAAGGGATTTGATAAGGGTTGTTTGCAATCATCATGCTGCTGGATATAAAATTTAGAAGTTGGAACCTTAAATCAGATAGTTTGAACTTGTCTTAATGTTATTACATTTGGGCTGAAATCAACAGGATTGTTAACAAGATAATTCCTGATTGGTTGATTGTGGTATGCGAGCAAATGTTCTTGGGAATATCCCTGGTAATTAGACTCTATCAGGACATCAATTACTGTTAAATTTTTCAAGCATGGGTGCTGGCTAAAAAAAAATTACACAAAACTGGAAGGAGTTATGTATACTTCATTTACAACACTGAATTGTTGACATGTGCTATTTGTCAACTTATTAGTTTTTCTTTTTCTTTTTTTAACAAAATGGAAAGGAAGAAGACTTTCAAACAGCATGATTAAATTTGTTGAAGTTGTTCCATTCATGTCATAATTGTCCAGGATATTTTCCCTCCTTTATTACCTCTTTCATCATTCTCATATGTAATAATCTTGAGGTTATAATAATACTGTTGCCTACATCTATATTTTTCTTCTGTTAATTTGTTTAATATAATAAATAAAACTAAAACAAAACAAACAAAAAACAAGGAAAGGTATAGATGAGGCACCTGAAACAGCAGAGAAGATCAGCAGAGTTGGAGAATAAACTGAAGTTGGTGAAGGATGCTAAAAACATAGAAACATAGTGAAGAATACTAATAATAGGATTTAATTCTCCAGGCCTAGATAAACTGTACCGTAGGGTACTGAAGAGAAAAAAATGTGTACAGTATATTATTTTTGAGAAACCTGAGAGAATTTGATCCTAAGGAGGGCAAATATTGCCCCTATAATCAAAAAGAGAATAAATAAATAAATGAGCAGCTGGGGGTACTTTAGGCCAGTCATACCTGATACCTAAGAAGATTCTAGAGGAGATCATCAAAAGTTTCAGTAAGCATCTTGAAAACATAGTGGCAGTTATAGCACTCAACATAGATTTCTCAAGAACAAGTCTTGTTAGACTAATCATATCACATTTTTCAAATCCATGATCTTACAATAGGCAGTGGGAATATATAATAGTTGATTTTAGCAAATCTTTTATAAGGTATTCTATGATTTCTGATTAGTAAGCTGGTTAAATATTGGTTAAATGGCACAACAATTACAAGGATACATAGCTGACTTGAAAAACATATCCAAAGAATGTTCATAGTTCATCATCAAACTGGAATAAGATTATCAAATGGATGTCATAAGATGCACTCTTGGGGTTTCCATTCTTCAACATTTTCATTAATGAATTAGATGTTGATAGAATGTAGGGGATACCTGACTTGGTAATAGGATCTGTAAAAAAATATTGGCATTGTCACAATGCCAATCACAAGCTAAATATGAGTTAGTAATGTTGTCCTGTTTCAGGTTTCAAACTCACACACACACATAGTTGTTAGGTGAGAGTGGCAATTTACTTAAGACTGAATAGTTAACAGCAGAAAGGAATGTAAATCAAAACAGAGTCTCTGGGAAAGAAAGCTTGCCTGGGTAGTTTCGCTTTCAACATGAATGCGCAGAAGAGAAGTCAAAATCCAGTCCGAAGTTCAGAGAGCCAAGTCAGATTTGTCAACCAGTCAAAAGGTCAGAATTTCAGGGTTTACACAAGCAGGATTCACAGGAATGAGATGCAGAACAGGAGATCAGATGGTTGTTTCCTTTTTTAAAAAAATATAATTTTTATTAAGAATTTTGATTATAATAATAAAATTTAATACAAACTAAATTAAAGCAAGAATAGAAGAAAGAGTAAAAAGTATAAGAAAAAAGAGAAGGAAGAAAAAGGAAAGTAAGAATATAATAAATAAAGAGAAAAAAATATATAAAGGAGTGACCTCCAACTTTCATCACAAATATAAACAAATCTAGTGACTCTTCACCCTCTCTAAGGCTGCACACATTTATCTCTTCATCCCATATCCCATCTCTTATCTATAAACAAATCCATAAACATCATCTTTTCAGTCCTGGTGTCAGCAGAAAGTCCATAAAGGGTTACCAGAAGTCACAACATACCTTGATTTAACCTTGATCAAATCAACCAACTTTATATTCCTTCCTTTTACTTCTAACAGTCTTAATCTTTAGTTCATTCAAATATTGTTGTAGGGTTTGATTTCTCTTCATTTTTTTTTTATCTCATCACATAGAGTTCTTCAAGCCTTTAATAAGCTCTTTTGCAAATCTAGTAGGAAAAAAGTATCCAGTCACTCTCTTGGTTTGTTATTTGTATTTCCCTTTTAAATTAAATTAAACCTCAGCCAGCTTTTTTTTTTGGTAGATCCAATGAAACATCCTTTTCAAAGTCATTCTCTTAGTCCTTAGTCTGTCAGTTGTAAATCCACTTTCAATACCGTCTCTATCTTGTCAGATAAAATTTGTTCTACATCTCTCATTTCTTCAATAACATCTTTTGGACATAATCTATCCACAGAAGCAGACATCATTACTAACACTGTTGATATAGTTGCTACTATTTGCTAATTCCATTCTTCAAAAGTCTCCTTCAGTATTTTCATTGCATTTCCTTGCAACATTTTACAGGCTTGTAAATCTTTCCCCTACCTAAAAATTTAGTCCCCTCTAGTGTCCAGTTTTTGAAGAAATTGTTTATCTATGTTATGTCTTATAGAAAATAAAATAGGATCTATTTCTCACAAGAAGCTGTTTGTATTTTTTAAATTAATTCCAAAATCTTATTGTAAAAGTTTCAATATTCCAATTTCATCTAGATTCTTAGTCCATTTATAACTTTCTAAGATCAATCTTATTTATCTTTTTACTGTTTATTTCATATTCTTTAAATTCTTAAGCTTAATTACTAAAATTTTCTTTCATCCAAGATTGAAGGCAGACTCACCCAGCATTTTCAAACTTGTCAGTTCAAAGGTCTCTAATAGCTTAGAAGTAGTGAATGAGCAATTTTCAAAAGTGATTAGAAAGTGAGGCTTGCGAACTTAGTGTCCTTTAAAAGTCTCTGCTGCAGTCACAAGCAAGGTGGCTTATCCGGTTGTCTTCCTGTGCTCAAACCTGTGGGAAACTGCTGTCCTGTGGTCTCCTCTCAAGGAGCAGCCATCTGGAGTACATGTGAGTGATCTCCTGTCCCATAAACAACTGGCTTAGATAGCTTCTACCAGCTCTGTGATCCTAAGATCACATCTTGAACCAAAGAGCTCCCTATATCAGGGACATTCTGCTAGAGAGCTCTATTGTGTAAAGTAGAAGTGAAAACAGAGCTTCTAATTTGTATTAATCTAGTTATTTTTAAGACTCACAATGCATTTTTAACCAATGAGAGACTCCAACATTGAAAAATAAATAATTACAGCCCTGTGCATATGAAGCATCACAGCAGTGTAATTATGTTTTCTTCTTTTGATTTATTTCTAACTAGTTTTTTCTTTAATTTTTTCATTTGAATCTCATTGTAAGTTTGCTGTGCTTGAATGTTTAGGACTGCTGTAACATTAACAAATATAATACTGTGAAAGATGCAATGGTGAGTTAGATTAACAGTAATTCCTCAAGAGAAAATCTCTCTTTCTCTTTTCTCCCTCTCGTTCTCCTTCTGTGTTTGTAGGACTGAGGAGCAGGGCAATTTAAAATTAACTAGATTCAGACTGCAGAACCTGTCACAACTCTATTCATTTCAGACTGAGCTATTCATAAATGTGTCAGATTATATAAAAATATAACAGATCATATCTCAGCTTCAGTGAAATGAACATAAATCCTGATAGCAGTCCAAAACTGGCTTAAACTAGTTCTTATACCTTTTTCTCTCCTCACTTGTATCCTTTTCCTGCATACCTGCAGATACTAAACTCTGTTACCATATTGTCTGTTTTGACTTTGGTAATGAACTAGTTTGAAAAAGAATTTCTAAGTAGAAATTCCAAAAAGAGAAGAACTGAAAAGGATCTGTACTGTGTTATGACAACAGCTGTCTTTCTAAGTCTGCCAAAGGCCTTGATTCAAACAAGAGAGACTGTATTTAGGCCCTGAATGACATTATCACAACTTTGTATGAATTTTGTATAGGAATGAGACACCAAGCTATCAGGTTTGACCGAATCTTCTTTAATACAACTTTTATTAATTGCTATCCAGTAACAGAAACTGAAAAAGGTGAAATGCATTTTAGCATTCTGTTAGTATTGCTTATTCTGTTCTTATAGCACATACCCTGCTTAACCTAGTCCTGTTTAGGATAATCCCTGCCAATGTCTGTCAAAATTCAGATGACCTTGTCTTCCTTCTGAGAATGCAGAATTACAATATAAAGTAATGTTAATGGAGGTAGAGAGGATTATCTGGGCACCCATATGCTGTATGCACTGGATATCTTGCTTGATCATGGGTGGGCTATGCCACAATCTTGGAACCAACCCTCATTGCCTAGTTCTAGGAATTTGTCCAGTTCTGGAAATCAGCACTTAATTCAGCTGCTGCTGCTGCTGCTGCTGCTGCTGCTGCTGCTGCTGCTGCTGCTCTTCCTCCTCCTCCTCCTGCCTTTGAGTCAGTTTTTGACTCCTGACTACTGCCTGGATAAGTCCCTGCAGTTTCCTTGGCAAGATTTTGGAAGTGGTTTGCCATTGGCTGCCTCCTAGGGTTGAGAGAGAGTGACTGGCCCAAGGTCACCCAGCTGGCTTCGTGCTTAAGGCAGGATTAGAACTCACAGTCTCCCAGTTTCTAAACCATACTGGCTGTCTCTAGAGAGGTCTCACATAACATGTCTGGTATTTTGATTCTTGCTATATAATTTTGTCATCCTTAGAATTTATGCAGCAGATTCTCTTTGCCCAAGGTCTTCATTTTCCATTATCATCACACTCTCTGTAAAAAGTGTGTGTGGACATTTCCTTACCTCTGTAAAGTATGTGAAAAAATCAAATGCTAGATCCCAGAAAGTATAAAATGAACTGGATGAAAGATCACAGCATCAAAAGGCAAACAAGCCTATGTAAATCTTATTGGCTATACCTGATTGTTAATCATGAAGACATTTGATGTCCAAATTGTCTCAGACTATGTGTGGACAGACAAGACAATATTGTTCATTAAATACCAATTTACTAAGGTTTAGCACATTTGTTATGGTTCTTTTCTACCTCTGTTTCCAGGATCTATTGCTGCTTCACATATCCCCTCCCAGTCATTTTCAGTTCCACTATAATACTCCAAGCTATGAGACACTATATAGTGAATGTTTGGTGATAAAATACCACATTGCTAATTGAACTGGGTATTTGACAGTGTCAGTGGAGACAAACAAAGCTCTACAGATGTTCTCAACTGAATGAGGAGGAGGAGAAAGGAATGCTGCTCCTGCAAGTTCCTGTCTCAAACTCCTCTTCCCTCAGCTCCATTGCTTTTAGCTCTTTTCTGGACTCTTTCCCTGTTCTTCTCTTCCTTTCAGCTCTGTTCCTCTTTTCTTAGTTTATTCTGCTCTCCTTCCTCAGCTCTTCTCTGTTGCCACCACTCTTCTTTCTTTCTCCACCACAATTTCCTCTTCAATCAGATCCTTTTTAAAAGGATGACATGCCAAAAAAGAAAGGTCAGGGCTCTTAAAAGGCAATAGGAGAGGGAGGAATTGCAAACATTGTCTTTGCTGTGCATCCTTTCTCTCACAATGCAATTAGAGTAATGAGATTTTTTGATACATTAGATAAAGTGTATAAAAGGTTCTGTGTGCAGATGTTATGCTAGTATTTATAGATATTTTAATTGATGGGTTTAAAGCTTTCAGTAAGTATAACATAAGTGATCTTGGTTTGAACAGATGACTTTGAGGTGACTTTGTTGTCAAAACTAGATTTATCTGGACAATATTAATGGTGTCCAGAGATAATAACATCTTGTGCTAAGGATGCTTACAGATATATTTCAGATGATCACACTGAATTTAAATATGAATGCAGTCTTGAATATTGACAACAAACTTAGATTTATAAAAATTGCTATTGGGGGATTAGAAAATACTCAATTCAATGTTCAAGATTATAGGGAAATACAAAATAAGAAACTGAAATATTTGGTATGTGGACTCCATTATAGACTGACCCTTTGGAAAGTAATAGGCAGGCAATGCAATACATTTTTTTCCGAACCTTCCATCAAGTAGCAACAATGCTGATCTTGGTTGGCCTCCAAACTGACACAATCTTGGTCAGATGCTTAGATACTTAAAAATTTACTTTCTTGGTAGTTCCTCAGTGAATGTTGCTCAGGAGGGGCACCAGCAAAAAAAAATATTTCTGGAGATGATTAAAAATCTCTAAGTATTTGTTGAGACCAATAATCTTCAGGTACAATGCTCTTGAGTTATGAAGATTCAGTTTTAACAAGCTGAACTGACTTAGTTTTTGATTAAGGTGGAATATGTTATGAATATTAAATGTGGAATCCCCAAAGGGCATATTATTTTCCTTTTCTTCATGCTCTGAATTTGGATGTAAATTTACATACCTAATCAAGGTGGCATAATATAGCTGATGCTGATCTGTTGTTGAAAAGACTAATGCTAATGTTTAGAGAGAGAAATCATCTCTAGAGCCAATTAAACAAACAATTTGGCAAATAAGTCCATGCATTTTTCAATATTTTTAAATTGCGCCAATGGTCCTAATGATTAAATATTAACAAAAATTATATTGGAGCTTGGGTCTGCTTTTTAAATTTAACACATAATAAATGAAGCCTTTTGGTCTTCTATTCTTAATTGTTGGAATATGAAACTTATAATTTTTTTCACATGCTATGCCACACTAAACATCAAATATTTAATACCTCCTTTTATATCTGAAACGTTTAATCAGCTACCCTTTAAATGGTTAGATCCCATATTTATTTTTCACCATAGCAAGAATATTATTTATTTATATGCACATTTCAGATTGCTTGCTTTTGAAATAATGGCCAAACTTGTGCCAACTTTTCAGGAATCAACATGTTTATGATATCACTGGAAGATCTTTATGAGCTATTGGTGAACTTTGGGTAAAAAGAAGCATTCTTAAGCAACAGGAATGGATAGGTAAGTTTTGGCCTTCCTACTAGCAGTGATTGCTGAATTATTGCACATAGGCTGAGATTCCTCTGTGTGATGGTAGTTGGTAGTTGGTAGGTGGTAACTACATGTGATGGTAGTGATATTATGTTCGAAGGAGATCCCACATATACAAAATTCTATCAAGCAGTTCTATCACTCTATCAGATAGGGGAACTTAATTTTCCCCAAATCACCAAAAGGTAATTGGATTGTCCACTTGGAACTCATCCATAACCTATAGATACAAATAATACTACACAACCTAAAGAAGTTGGCTCTGAAAGACATCAGGAACATTCCATTTCTACATCTCAGAAAAGGAAGACAGAAACATTTGGTAGGTCATACTAAACTAATACATTCCAAAGTAGTTGTTTTTGCCTATTGGGAAAAGATATAAAGAACCTGTACTGGAAACTTTCTGGCATGAGCAAGAATATGAATCAGATTCTCTGATTCATGTAATTGTCTTATGAGTTCATGAACCAAAGCTAGCATTTAGGTCACCTTTTGTGTTGAATTGGTTCAGAGGCTGACATCATCAGGTATTTGCACAGGACAATGCCTCCTCTCCCACCTCCTTCTCAAGTCCAGAGCTAAATTCCTCTACAATGGGCTGGATTGGAGTGAATACAAGGTTGTGCTATCTAGAAACTGTTGGTGGCCCATACCCAAGAACGGGGGCAACCTGACAGTATGAACAAGCATCCCTCTCTATGTCTTCCTCCCTCCTTCCCTCCCTCAGACTACACATGCCTCCAAATTTTGGTTGTTTCTTTTCAGCTGAGAGACTCTATAACAATATGTATATTTGGGGAAGCTATATGCAAAAATATGTACTTTAGAGAAAGATGGATACAAACTGGAGTGTGGAAATCTTTTGAAAGAGATGGTTCTCAACCTGTGGGAATCTCTATTTAAATCATTAAAGTAGCCAAGTGTTTCCAGGGTTGTTTAACTGTATCATATGTTGCACGCATAGCCACCTCACGTTAGTTTCTCCCAACTTGAAAAAAAGAAATGGCTACATTAATGATTCAAAGAGGGATTGCTTCTTATGTACCCTCTTTCTTATCCCATGCTGCAAAACATCTCTTTTGAAGAATTTCCATAGCTATAATAAATATGGTAGGGAATATATATATATGCATACAAAAATCAGTGAAGTCAATGACTTTTCTGATTTTTTTTTAAATGCAAAAGAATGAAGAAAGTTAATCAAATGGATTTATGACTGACACATGCAAAATTGATTGTGATATGATATAGATATGTGCCCAATTAATTGACGAATAGAAACATAAAACCAGTTTAGTAAAAAAGTAAAAAAAAAAAGTTACTTTTGAGTGGGTAAGCGCCACTCCTAATTAGTAATATATTGACTAAACAAAATGAAACCATATGCATTGTATCTAATCCCAGTTCCAATTCAGATCAACCTTATGGTAAAGCTTTATATGAATTCCAGTCTAATCCTACTGAACATTTGATTGCTTTTCTTTTCTTTTTTCTTTTTTAGCTGGAGTATTGCAACTTTCAAGCCTCTTACTAAATGTCTTTCTCAGTGGTTTTATTGTGTTATAAGTCAGTCTCAGTCTCATTAGATTGCTTAATGTTTGGTTCCATATGCCTGCCATTTGCAGTCCTATGAGTTGGAAGAAAGAGTCTATTTCCTTCCTGGTTTGGATGTAATGGAGTTGAGGTAGATTTCTTTGGATGTAAAGCTTCTTTTATTGTGCTGTTTATTCAATTACTCCCTCAACCCCCTTTGAAGCTTTCACAGGTTAGAATTTCATGACCTTGGAAATGCCAAATGACAAAGATTCAAATCCAAGGCTGGTGTGGGTCTTCCGGGCTGTGTGGCTGTGTTCTTGAAGTTTTGTTTCCTGACGTTTCGCCAGG